TTACCACTGTTTTTGGATTGACCTGTGTCAAGATTCAGTCCTGGGACCGAACGGTGGTAGCTCACACCCTTAACCCCAGCACTTAGGAGGCAGAGGCAGGCAGATCTCTTAGTTTGAGGCCAGTCTGGTCTACAGAGCAAGTTCCAGGACAGCCAGGGCTACAAGAGAAAGCTTGTCTTATAAGAAAGGGGGTTGGGGGGGGGAACAGAAATAGCACTGAAGCCTTAGCCCAAAGAATGTCAGAACGTTATCTGACTCGGAGACAAGATCTCTGCAGATGTTGTGTTGCTGAGATGAGGCTAACAGGCTGGGCCCTAGCCTAATATGCCTGTGTTCTTATGGAAATAGGGGTTGGCTATGGAGGCAGACATGTACAGGAGAAGGATAAGAAGAATTCCTGAGCTATGATAGAGGAGAGGAGACACAAAGCAGGTCTTTCCTCACAGCCCTCAAAGATCCAATCCCACCAAGACCTTGGTTTTGCACATTAGGCCTCCAGAACAATAAGACAGTGCCCTCGCTTGCCAACATTCCACCTGTGCTGTTCTGTAACTGCAGCCTCAGAGGACTGGCCCCAAACCACTCTGCCAACCTCAGCCCTCATCCACACCACCCTGCTCTAAAGCACCTGGGAATATGTGGCTCTAACTACTGTTGCCACCGCATGGTGAGGCCATGGCATGTTCTCTGAGAGAGGGGGAAACAGGCAGTGATCACAGTTCTCTAGACAAGCCAGACTCTGGGTAGACAGCATGCAGGACATCAGAGCCAGGGCACAGAAAACTGAACACAGAGTGCCTGCTTGAAAACAAGGGGGGAAAGAAACCAGAGTAAAAACGACTCTGCCCAAATGACAGGTGGGACAGGGAAATCTTCAGGCCACAAAGAAGATAAACTTTCTTTTTTTCCTCTCCCTGTGTCTCCCAGAGTGGCTTCTACCCCAGAAGCATGACTCTTCATCAAAGTCATTTAACTTGATTTTATGAGGTAATCTCAATGAAATGCAACAGATGCCAGGGTCAGGTAAATTTCCACTGGGTGACCAGTGTGTATAGCTCAGCAGTTCTCAGCCTGTGGGGCCCAACCCCCGTGGGGTCGAACAACCCTTTCTTTCATAGGGTGGACAAAGAGCATCAGAAAACACAGATATTTACATTACAATTTATAACAGCAGCAAGACTACAGTTATGAAGTTGCAACGAAAATGATTTTATGGTTGGGGGCCATCACAACACAAAGAACTGTATTAAAAGGTTGCAGCATTAGGAAGGCTTTGAACCATTGCTCTAGCTCATCAGTCAGCAACTGCCCCAAACAGCAATGACATAGTCAAGAGTATCTACTGCCCCTGGTGGCCAGGTACATATATCGCAGGAGCAAAATCCTCATGCTCCTGGGCAAAACACCCCATGGTCACAGAGATGTGACAAGCAGCCAGCATGAGAAACTGCGTTTAGGAAAACATTTATATAGCGAGAAGCCCACAGAAAGAAGAAAGGCCAAGTTTCCTGAGACAATTCTAGCTAAAGACTAGAAGAGAGAATGTTTCTTTTCTCTTGGTAAAGTATGCATTATACATAAAAATACAGTAGTTTTCAACAGTTCAGTTACTAAAAGCCCCACTTTTATAAAATCTATGACATAAACACTGAAGACAAACCTAGCCCAGTATACACACAACTGTGCTGGCAGTAGCCTGGAGTACTGGGCTCCACTGCCTCAGAGTTCTGTCTTGGGAGGAGCCATCTTTACACCAGATGTTCTTAGTGGAATGAAATGGAAAGAGGTACAGTGAAATGCAGGGGACAGTCATCAGTAGCCCCACGTGGACTCTCACCCCTCCCTCCAAGCAAAGTCCAGGCATTGCTTGATTGTGTGACGGTCCAGGAAGAGATAGATGTAAGCAAAGAGTTATTTTCCTCAGCCATGGACCAGCTGGGCAACACTACCCTGCCCTGAACCAAAAGGGGAGGGGGTAGTAATTGATGGAAAAGACTATTTCCTAGAAACCCCCATTATTTGGACAAGGCCCCAAGTCAGAGAAAAACAACATCAGAGTCAAAAGTCATTCTTACTTCATTTTAAGTGTCTCCAACTTTGCCAGATTCTCCCTCACCAGGCACATCACAGCCACGAGAGAAAGTGGCTGCAGGCATGGAAATGACATTCTGTTTATACACAGTTAGTTGTAGTGTAACACCCTCTTTGATAAATACGTTTTTAAACAACCCAATCTTGAGAGCCCAAAAGCTTTCCAGACATTGAGGCTGAAGTCCGGTGCTGTTTATTCTGTCTGAGAGAGACAGGAGACTAGGGGCTTGCTAAATCAGCACAGAGAGCATGTTGTCAAGTTCAAGTCACAGCCAATTAAGAGGTGAGCGCATATTTGGATAAGAAGGCCGGAAATAACCTTTTTTTATCTCATGCAAGTGATGCGAATACGTAGCGTTACAATTATTTTAAGAATCATTTATTATAAATGAACCTAAGGCCGCTTTCCCAAAACATATGTCCCTTCTGAAACAGTCCACTGTGGTTTCACTTTCTGATTTACTCTTCAGTATTACAGAGGTAAACACTCACATACACACGACTGTATACACATCTCATAGAAACGGTTGGCTGGGAAGACGGCTCAGTTGGTTAGAGTGCCTGTCATGTAAGGACATGATATCTAGTGCCTGCAAGCAAAGCAAAAGCTGGCACACGCTTATGGTCCCAGCCCTGGAGAGGCAGGACAGCAGAATCTCGGGGTTCACAGGGCACATCCTACCCTAGTCAGTGAGCCCTGGGTTGTACGAGAGGCTGTCTTAAAAAGCAAGGTAGACAGCACCTGAGGAGCAACAGCCAAGGTGGACGTCTGGCTTCCACGCACAGGAGCACATGTGTGCCCCCACACACCGAGAATCTTAGTATGTGTGATCATACAGAGAATCCACAGGATCTCTTCAAGCTCTATTCATGCTGACATTATAACAAATATCTTGAAATACTAATCTTTGTGGGCATCTCTCCCATCCAATCATGGTCTCTCGCTCAGCCAGAGCCCTCTATATGGACTTAAGGATTATACAGATTCTCTTAGCAATTAAAAAGAAAGATACCGTGCACGTGCCTGAGAGGGAATCAGAAAGGAGCGCTGCAAGGAAAGCACAGAATTCATGCTGTAATAACACACCAAAGAGGAAAGTATTTGGGCTTGATGCTTTCAGGTCTCACACAGGCTTCACAGAAACCAGGCAGATGACACAGACGCTTGCAGCAGGAGGAATGGCAGTAGACGCCCATTCCTTTAATGCAATGTGGGGGGGGCAATTGAAGATAGTGTGGGCAAACAAGAGAGTGAAGTCAACCTCCTTGGCATAGAGCAAGCCAGCTACTTGCCAAATCTCTTCCACTTTTACAGCAAAAAGTAAAAATAAAAAACAAATTAACAGCTAATGTTTTTATATTTAAACAGTCTCTTCATTTTCCAGCATTGGCCACTGTGTTAGTTTCTGTTCCTACAGCTGCGATAAAGCAGGGACAGAAATTACTTAAGGGAGAAAGCATTTGTCCAGAGTGCTACCTGTCTCGATGGCAAGCCAAGGAGGCCGCAGCTGGTCACAGCACGGTTCACAGGCAGGAAGCAGAGCCGTGTGAATGCACGCTTCTTCCTGCTCAGCTCACTCCACCATGCACACAGTCCCAGATCCCACCAAGGAGTGCTCCCACTGCAGTGGCTAGGTGAGTCCTCCCCCTTCAGTTAATGTAATCAGTATAACCTCACACAGGCAAACCCAGCAGCCTGTCTACAGTCTGTCATCTAACACTAACCAATCACACACTGGCTGGTCACACTGCAGGCTCAAGTTAGACCCGAGGGCTTCAGATCGGTTTGCAGATGATCAAACCTCTGCCATCTGTCCAGTTAGCACAACCAATGTCTCAATAAAACATTCTTTGTCAAATTAATATGCTAAACACAAGTGGTTTTATAAAAAGTTTAGGGGATCTTTTTTGTGATGACTGAAAGGATCTAAAATCATCCAGGAGTCAAGCACTGGGTGAGCAGGTTTCTAGACTAGGCTGAGATAGGAAGAGTCAGCTGGATGTGGGGCCTGATGAGGGAAAGACTTGCTGGCCACCAGTGTTCATCTCTCTTGACTTCCTGACTGTGGCCAGCTACTGCACGTGCCTGCTGCCATGACCCCCCTGCCATGGGGGGTTATACCCTCAAACTGTGAGCCCAATAAAGCCTTCCTTCTTTCTTCCCTTAGGTCTCTTTTGTGGGGGATTTTGTTATTATGACAATCAGAAAAGTAAGGAATATTGTTTTCCTTTAAAAAGGTATAGTTGGCAATCAGGGATTCTTCTAGTAAATTCTGGAGGATTTTTCTGGAAATGGAGGGAAGATTCACTCATCAAATTATCATTTGTCCTTTCATTCCTTGGGTGTTTTCCCCTACACCAGACTGGTTTTAACATGTGTTGCTTTGGAAATAGATTGACCTCTAAACTTCATCCCTCAGTACAAGGAAAGACGGCTCAACTCTACCTAGAGCGAGAAACAAGCTCATGGCTCTGGAAAGACAGGGTCTGAAAGGATGCTAGGGCAGGGCTACTCATCAGATGCAATCTTTATCTTGAATCAGCTGCTGCAGAACAACATACTTGTAGGGCTGAAGACGGGAAGGACAGCCCCTGTCAAAGGAGGCCAAGAGATGACCCTCTGTCTTCTCCTTTTCTTCCCCATGATGGCATGCTTAGCAATTACCCATCCCCACCAAACTCCAGGTGGATTTAAACTGAGCAGGGCACAAGGGGGTGATGAATATAAAAGTCATCTCCCCCTATGAAAACAAAGGTTGGAGTCTGTACCTAGGAGAGAGGAACAATTCTTGGGAACAGCCTGTTCAGATGCAGACATGGATACACACTGTATTAATGCAACCATCGACGGCTTCCTGCACAACACCATTGGTGTGTCTAAACAGGATGCTCAAAGACAGTCCATCTACCTTGAAGATGAAATCAGCCATCAGGGGTCCCGGGATCTTCAAGGTTTGTCTCTCAGCACCTTTTTGAAACTCAATCGTTGTGTTCTCTACAACAAAAATCCCAGGACTGTTGAAGTTGTGCTCTCCTCTGCTTCCTTGAAGTGTCTTTGACTCAATAACTGAAAATTTAAAAATAAAATGTAAATAGGAGATCCATCCTGAAGACATTTGATTGTAAATGGCGTTATTACCAAGTGCGGCATTGGTATGTGTGATCAACAAATCCAGGGCAATGTCCTCAGTTGGTGGGCACTGTCTCAAATTGGCAGAACAGATGTGTGAGGCTTTTAGGTACGAGCAAGGGCTTTTTGGCCCAAATCTACTTGAGTTCTTGGAACCATTTCCACCACAGAATAAAGAGGGAAGTTTTCTTAGTTTATGCTTTCTCACGAGGTACCTTAAGTCACAGAATGGAGAAGCCACGTCTCTTCCTACCCATTCAGAAGAAAGAATCCCAGTTTTGCTTTAAAATATTACTTCTTTTTATGTAAGTTTAAATTCATGGCAACTAGCACAGAGATGGCCTATGTAGTCTTCTCTCATCTTGTCCATGGGTAATGAGTCTACGTCACAATAGCCAAAACCAGTACCTGATGGTATGATGTATGCTATGAACCAGTCACAGTGGCACATGCCTTTAAATCCTAGCACTCATGGAAGCAGAGGCAGGCAGATCTCTGTGAGTTCAAGCCCAGCCTGGTCTACAAAGTGAACTCGCCCCAAGGAACTACTTCTAAAAAGATCCACAACCCCCTTTTTATAATAGCCTTCTCTCTCCCCTACCTCTGGTCAGTGGGTTGGAAGGGAGTCAAGCGTTAAGAACCCTTTGAAATAAAGTAGGTTTTTGAAAAATCTAAACCTAGATGACCCCTTTAGGGATGAATGACCCTTTCTCAGGGTCACCTAAGACCATCAGCAAACACAGATATTTACATTATGATTCATAACAGTATAACAAACTTCATGACAAAATTACAGTTATGAAGTAGCAATTAAAATAATTTTATGGTTGGGGGTCACCACAACATGAGGAACTGTATTAAAGGATCACAGTGGTAGGAAAGTTTGGAGGTTAGGAAAGCACTCTTAGGTGGCTTTTAGGTGGCTGTGGGTGAGGGCTTGCAGCAGATTCATGTGTACAGCATGTACCTGCCTTGTTCAACATGGCTTTCCTTTGGTTGTTAAGACAGTACCATGGTTCTGTTCATGTTCAGCAGTCAGGACTTGGGAGGAAGTTATATTCTCCCAGTTGGTAGAGGTTTCAGCCTGTGACATATTGGCCTTTTGGGTTATTGTTAGTAGAACATTTGGTTTATTATTATTTTGAATGTTTAAAGATTTTTTTTAAGTGTGTGTATGTGTGAGAGAGAGAGAATGTCCACCACATGAGGGCAGTTCCTACAGTAGCCAGAAGAGGGTACTGGATGTATGCCCTAGAGCTGGGCTTACAGGCAGATGTGAGCCACCGAAGTTCACAACCGAACTTCTGCAAAAGCAGAAAGCGCTCTTCAAGGCCGAGCCATCTTCCCAGGCCTTTAACACTTTTGAAATTACATTTACTTCTTTATTGGGATAGGTATACCACTGCACTGTGGTGGCTCTCTTGTCCTACCAGAGAGGTCCTGGGGATTGAACTCAGATACCTAGATTCGACAACAAGTGCCTTTATCTGCTGAGTCACCCCACCAGCTGAGTCAAGCATATTTAACGCCATAGTTTTGCTCTGATTACATTTGCTATAAATCCAAAATAAATTACACTGTTTTTGCAGGGACTTTCTTATTGCCTCCATTTGGAGAGGGATGCATATGTGGAAAATCTGGGGCTGTGTGTTCCTTACAATAATGTGTCTAGAATTAGAACATGCTATAAATTCAGGATCTAAACAGCTCTAGGCAGATTGTAAGATGGACAGTCTATAATTAAATTCCATTCCACAACAAAGGGACTTGAAATTAACTGTACCAAGCATTCTCAGTTTTCAATACTGCAGCCATTTGGAAGGCTATAGTTAATATAGACCTTAAAAGGATGATTTATTACTGCAAAATAAGCTTGATTTCAGAAATAAGCTTTTTATATGAAAATGGTTATATAAAACAAGAAAACAAAACCCCTTCTGTACTGTGAAATTCAGACATGTAAACTAAACCCTTTGCAAGGCAGCCAGTGGAGAAGGGCGGCTTTTAGAAAGGCTTCCAGAGCCGCCTATGAGGCTGTTCAGAAGGGGAAAACTCCAAGTGATAGATCTGTCACTTGGAGAAGTGGGAGCACTTCTGAGCCCTGGGCCCCAGAAGAGTGCCAGTCTCCAGCACAAAGGCTGGCTTCATCCGCCAGCACAGGCTCATGCAGAGGAGGCTTCCCCAGGGCATCAGCCTGGACTTGTTCTGTTTACTGCTTGCTTATTCTGTTTTTATAACTTAAAAAATCTCTTAAAGCTGGACACGGTGGCTGACACTGGCAAACCCAGGCCTCAGGAGACCGAAGTAGGAAGTATAGCACACGTTCAAAGGCAGCCTAGGTTATGTGGTGAGTTCCAGCATCACCTGGACCACACACCTGGACCACAACACCACAATTTTCGAAGACCGTACTTGGGGAACCACCTTCAGTGTCATGAGAGCAACCCATTAAAACGATCTTTTAAACAATTGTTAATAACTAACCGACGTGCCGCAGAACCCAGCCAGTCTGTTTGCCTGCCTTTTCAGTACTGGGTATGAGCCCAAGGTCTCATGCTACTATTGAGCTAACTTTCAGCCCCAATCGCTTATATAAAAGTGTTGTTTTTAATATGCATCCACACTCGGCATTTTTAACACAGGCTAAGATTGCGACATATTTTTTTTTGCCACCCCAAATAATATACTAGCCAGGAAATCATCGGTCTATTTTTTCCATCTCTAGACCTTTCTCTGTCTAGGGACTTCATCGGATGAGTCAAGGGACATGTGGCTTTGGGGAGCTGGCTTCTTTTACTCAGTCAATATTTTCCAGGACCATCCACATCATGCCTGCAATAGAATGCCTTCCCTTTTATCACCAAATGATATTCCACATGTCCTGATTAATTCATTAGTTAATTAATTAATTTGACAATTGATAGATATCTGCACTGTTCTCATTTGAAGGCTAGCAAGAATACAAATGCTATGGATATTCAAGGCCTTGCTTATTTATTATTTATTTGTGTAAATATGTATGAACTGGAGGCGGGGGGGGGGTTGTGACAGAATCTCACATAGCCCAAACTGACTGGCCTGGAAGCTGCAATGAAGACAAGGTCGGCTTTGAATTCTTTTTATAATTTTTATAGTTGATATCTCACAGTTTTATTACTGAGATGGTTCACAGAATTGAATTAGGACGATCTGTGCTAGTTTCTAAGTGTCACATTTTAATTTACCGGGAGGAAGAACTGACCACACGGAGTGCTGAAGATTTTCAGATCGTTTAGAAAACAGATCTCTAAAACGTTTTGATACTTCACTCCAAAGAGGGTCTTGCTCCATTAATGCAAACCATAAGGGGCAAGAGAACGTCCCCTTCAAGAGTTAAGTGTTTGGAGACGGCTCAGCTGGTAAACTTTTGCCACACAAGCATAAAGTCCTGAGCTGGATCCCTGTAGCCACATTTAAAACAGAACAAAACAGACACACAACGAGTGACTACAGTCCTAGAACTGGGGAGGCAGAGATGGGCAGATCTGGGAAGCTTGCTGGCCAGCCAGGTTAGCCAATTGGTGACTCCAGGTTTAGCGAGCCATCTTACCTCAAAGAATAAGGCGGAGAGCGATTAAGGAAGACGCCTGTAGGCAGGGCAATTTTTGGACCACAGGTTTTGCCTGTGGGTTGTCGTTCCCCTCCTTACACTGGTCCTGCTTGGCTAGGAGGTGGTCACTACAGCCTTCATGTCTCTGCTGTCTGGGGTCTCAGCTAGAGTCACACCCATGTCCTCCCAGAAGCCTACCCCGCCACAGGCCTGACAAAGAGATGTCCTCCAGTTTCCCTTCTTGTTCCCAGCCCTCTCGCCTCCCACCCTCGTTTTCCCCACTTCTGAATTCTACCCTCCTCTCCCTCCCCATTCCATCAGTTCCCTCTCTTCATCCACTGTTGTCTATTCTATTTCCTCTTCTGAGTGACATTCTGGCACCCTCCCTTGGGCCCTCCTTGTTACTTATCTCCTTTGGGTCTGTGGATTGTAGTGTGGTTATACTGTACTCTAAGTCTAATACCTGCTTATAAGTGAGCACATACCTCATGTATCTTTCTGGGTCCAGGCTACCTCACTCAGGATGATCTTTTCTAGTTCCATCCATTTGCAGGGATAAAGAGGGAACAAAGATTGAGGGAATGTCCAACCAATAATTGGCCCAACCTGAGACCCACCCTATGGTAGAGAGCCAGCCCCTGGCACTATTAATGATGCTCTGCTATGCTTACAGACAGAAGCCTAACTTGACTGTCATCTGGGAGGCTCCAGCCAACAGTAGATGGGGACAGATGCTGGGACTTTCAGCCAAGCATGGGGCGGAGCCCTGGGGTTCCTGTGAAAGTATTGGGGGAAAGACGGAAGGACCTGTAGACGACAAGAACCTCATAAGAAGACCTACTGAGACAACTAACCCAGACCCATGGGGGCTTACAGAGACTGAGACATCAGCTAAGGAGCATGCACGGCCTGGACGTAGGCCCCCTGCACATATGTGGCCAGTGGGCAGCTCAGTTTTCATTTGAGTTGCTTGGGGAGTGGAGGGTGAGGCTGTTTCTAACATGGACTCTATTGCCTGCTTTTGGATCAGTCCCCCTGGCAGACTGCCTGGCCTGGCCTCAGGGGATGAGGATATGCTCAGTCCTGATGTGAGTTGATGTGCTGGGGAGGGTTGAAATGGGCAGAGGGGGCTCCCATTTTCTGGGGGAAAGAGAGGGGGGAAGGGGGAACGAGGGGAACGAGGGAAGAAGAATTGAGAGGAGAGGAGGGATGGGGCACCCTTGGGCTGTAAATAAATTGAAATAAAACATTTTTAAAAGAAGCCTGATAGTCACCTTTGGATATGTACTCCCACTTTTGTGCACACACTCACTGCACACACACATACACTCACACATATACATACCTGTGAACACACATGTAGACATGGACACACACACTCACACATACAAACAAGCCTTTAAACCCAATAAACTTCTTCAAGCTCAGAGACCGGTCTGAGACCTTCCATCTTCTGGACACAATGAAGGAAGTTTTGCCTGAGGTTACAAAGGCACCGCCGTGAAAGAGAGGAAGAAAACCCGTGACACTTCCAGCTTCTGGACACCCTCAGAGATCAAACACTCTAAGGTAAGAGGTGCCAGCTGACATTGCCAAAGAAACACTGCCATTGCACTTCTGTAGATACTCTCTGTATCCCACAAAGCCTTCACTAGCTCGTGTTGACACCTGGGCTGGAAGCCATGACAAATCAGCAGCAAAGTTTGTCCTTCCAGGTCAAAGGTCATGGATGAGGAATGTTTAATTTGTTTTTTTCTTTTAGCCCCAAGCTTCAGATATCTCCAGAAGATCCTTGAGTCCTTGTACAAATTACTTTACATACAATTTGATTTTCTTACTCATGAACACTTTTAAGTGCAAATTGATGTTCTTTCCACCCTAAAACATAAGTACAGAACAGTTCAGATTGCACACACACACACAAATAATCAAAGAAAAAGAGTGGGAGGGGCTTGAGGGAGAGCATATGAAAGGGGCTGGATGGGAAAAAGGGAGGGGTAAAGTGATGTAATTCCACTTCAATTCAAAGTGTATTTCAAACAGTTCCTAAAGACGTAGGCTGTTTGAGTATCCTGGACAGAAATCCCTACCATGAACAAGGAAAGTGGGTTTTCACTTGTTTGCCTGACGCTCTTTCAGGAAATTCTGTGACATGCTAAGGCGAAATTCTACTTACAGAGCCGGGCAGGTCCTTTCACAGTAATTCTCACACTTCGACTGCCCAAGGGAACAGCAATCACATTTTCTTCCCCTAGAAAAGAAATATGACAAACGTAATGAAAACTCACGTGCTAAAGACCCAGGAGTGTGAGCAGGTGGATTAAAACCTCACAGTTGTACCTGCAGGTGAAGCAAATCCTGACACGAGCTCTCATGGCTCAACTGGGAAGAACCTGTATCAAGTGAAACCGATTGTGAAAGGACACAGAGGCAAGTTCACAGGGACAGTAAGCAGGACTGTCGGGCGTTGGGAGGAAGAGGGATAAGGAGGTGTTGCCAAGTGGGCAGAGAACTTCTGTTTCAGAAGACAAGGGATGTCCCAGGTGATGCTTTTGGTTCCCCCGAACCATACACTTAAAATTGACTGAAACGGTGGTGGTGGACGGTGGGCTTGAGGGATGGCTCAGGGAGTAAAATGTTTGCTTTGCAAGCCTGAGGACCCAGGCTCAATCCTCAGCACCCACATAAAAACACCAGCTGTGGTGGTACATGCTTTTAGTCCCAGAGCTGGGAGGCAGAAATAAGAGGACCCCAGGGGCTCTAGGGAGTATAGCCTAACTGGTGAGCTCTGGCCAATGAGAGACTGCCCCAAAGGAGGTGGATACACTTGAAATTATCTCTGTCCTCCACAGACACATGCATACACACACACACACACTGGTTAAAACAGTAACTCATGAGTCTATATATTTTATCACAATTTTAAAAATACACATGGTATGATCCCTCATTAGAATGCTTCAGGATTTCATTCTCATATGTGTGTAGGTTACAGCAATCCATGCAACACAATATTACATTCACATTTTACACTATATTGTGTGTGAATGGGAAGATGAGCTTGTACACACAGGAGAGTGAGGCAGACAACTGTGTGGTTGCTCGCTACTGAGAGTAACAGCAAGGCACTTCGGTTCCTCCGTCCTTCACGTGTTATGAGGAGCTCCCGTTGAGCCACTGGTGATCCGAGAGAGATGGAGAGAGAACCGGGGAGCAGAGGACACGGGCTCATGCTTTCTGAATGTCCTGTAATAAGATGGGCTTTTTATGTAGTATACAGTATGCTATATACTTTTACTTAAGTTTGAAGCTTAAATTGGAAAGATTGAAGCTGAAATAATTATTAATAGCAAAAAGGGGAGGGCCCAGAGTTTTCTGAGCACCTTAGAAAAACTTAAGCAAACAGTTCCGCTCCAGATGACAGAATGAGTGAGAGGCTGTCAATAACAAGGTCAAGATCAGCATAACTCTAAAACCCTCACACACGTGCACACACACACACACACACACACACAGAGTGGAAGAGGATGTGCTTAGTTCTGATGTAACTTGATTTGTTGGGGTGGGTTGGTACGGGGTAGGGGCTTCCCTTTTCTGAAGAGAATGGAAGCGGGGAATGGGAGAAGAGAAGGGGAGGGGAGGGTCAGAAGGATAGGAGGGAGAAGGCTGTAAAGTGAATAAATAAATTAATTAAAGAAAAAAAGGAAGCCCAGAAAACGAATGCATATGAATCCATTTGATTAAGGTTATAGATTAAAAATAGTGAATAATACAAAACAAATAGTTCCTGAACTCTCTCAAACGAACTACACACACACAAATAAATGAAACAGTTCTTACGTGAATGGCTGATTCAGCTGTATCAATGTATTGGGAAACCAGAGGAACAAACACTTGGTTTAAATCATACCTATAGATAAAAAACGGTTCTAAAATTTAACATACCTTGCTCATACGAGTCTTACTAGCACTGGGGAGAGAGGAAACATCCTCAATTTGATAAAGAACATTAGGAGTCATGGGCAGACTCAATAGTGAGCCACTAAAACTATTTCCATGGGGGGGAAAAAGAAACAAAAATTACCATTATTTTTCCCGTAGATTTTTGTCAATGGAATTAGAAAAATAGTAACATGTGCAAATGGAATCTGGGGAAAAAAAATCTTAAAATACTGTAATTATAAAATAAAAAAATTAAGTTCAAGAGATATTCTGATATTACACAAATCGCTGTAAAATGTCATCATCTAATTATATATCTAAATATATTTATGTATTTTAACGCTAAGTGATACGTATTATGCAAATGTAGCGCATATTATGTTAGTCCAAAGCAGTATGCACGGGTGTAGTTATACAAACGTAATCTAACGCAGTAAGCATGTGTCGTCAAGCTTGCCTGCAGACACCACTTCCCACTACAAAGAATGAGGCTTTTTAGAGAGCCAATCTCAGTTTGAGTCAGGAAATACAGACCATCACAGCACAGCAATGTCTTTTTGAAAACTCCCAGGAATACACTGAACATGGTTTTTTTCTAGCTCCTCCCCTGAAGGTTTTTGATAGTTGCCAATGACCTCGTGTAGCCTTGACATTAAGGACTTCTGATTGTTTGAATCAAACTCCCATGGGGAGGCTATCTGCACTGGGCAAGTTCACAGGTCAGATTCAGGCAGTAGTGAGTGGGTTCTTCCAGGAAACTACCACACACACCAAGTAATGACCACTGGGAGTTGGGCTTTTAGGGCTCCAAACCCAGTCCAATTCCTGCAGAGTCTGCAAGCTGCTGGCCTTCACTCAGGTTATGAGCTTTTTTTTTTTTTAAAAAAAAAAAAAAGGTTACTATGGGGGTAGAAAACGAGAAGACAGAAATAAACAAGTTGATATCCCACAGTCTTTTCTGTTCTTACCCCATGTTTTTCTTAGAATAATTACCGCCCAGACTTTTGCAAGCCTTTGGTTAATTTCCAGGGCTTTGGAAATGCTGGTTGCTACAAATTTTGCTCATTGTCTCCTTTGCTTACAGAAATCCTTACCCTATTGTTTGGTTTGTTGTTGTTTTCTTATTTCTTCAAATTAGTCTTCAAATAAGGGCAGGAGTTTCCTTGAGTCTCTTTGGAATACCCTCTCTTTTCTTTTCTTTCTTTTTTCTTTCTCTCTTTTTCTTTCTTTCTTTCTTTCTTTCTTTCTTTCTTTCTTCCTTCCTTCCTACTTTCCTTCCTTCCTTCTGTCTTCCTTTCTTTCCTTTTTTTCTTTCTTTCTTCCTTTTCTTCTTCCTTCCTTTCTTCTTTCTTTTTCTTTCTGTCTTTCTGTCTTTCTCTTTCTTTCTTTCTCTCTCTCTTTTTTCTTTCTTTCATTCTTTCTCTTTCTTCCTTTCTTTCTTTCCTTCCTTCTCTTTCTTTTTTTCTTTCTGTCTTTCTTTGTCTCTCTTTCTCTATTTCTCTTTCTTTTTCTCTCTTTCTCTTTCTTTCTTCCTCTTTCCCTTCCTTCCTTCCTTCCTTCCTTCCTTTCTTTTTCTTTTTCTTTCTTTCTTGACAGAATTTCTCTGTGTAGCTCTGGCTGTCCTGGAACTTGCTCTGTAGACCAAGCTGGCCTACTTGCCTCTGCCTCCCTAGTGCTGAGACTGTAAAGTGTGCACTACAGTGACAAGCTTCTTTGCAACTTTTTAAGGAGTAAGCACTTGCGCTTTTCTTCTTTCTTCCTTTGTGACATTTACTTGTCATTTATCACCTTGTCTCTGCTCTCTATATTGCATTTCAACACTGGTTCCCTCTGTTTTGTTCCCTGTTTGCATGACATAGTGGATGCCACCTGAAGACCTCCCTGAGCTCAGGTCTGCTAGGTGAGAGTTCCTTAGAGCTGAAGTCTGTAGCTCCTCTGAATCACAGCAGGAAGCTCAGTGTGCGCTTCTTCCCTGTGACTGGTGGTTACTGAAGACCCTTCACATGACCACATTCCACCTAGTCTTCATTTAGGAGCTCGAACTCCCAAAAGGAGAGGCACCTGCTCATCAGCCATCTGGTTCCCCTGGGCTGTGGTTTGTATGGAAAAGCCTTTTCTCTGTTTACCAATTTTAGAACCATAAACTGCATGTGGCAAACGGTAATTTTCTAGTATTATTTGGACTGGTTTAATACTGTCAATGTATTTTGTATGACTAACTTGGCTGTAATTATCATTCTTGTTCCTGTTCAGATTGCCACATTGTCGCCTTCCTGAGGACTCTTTGTATCAACTCCAAGTCCTTTCATCCCAACTCCAAAGCCCGTCTTTAAGAGTTTTCGAAAAGATATCGCAGTGCCATGACGGTATGATGTTTATCTCCTGACTCAAACTGTGATTGGCTCGCTATGAACCCTCATTCTTTGTGATGGGAAGTGGTGTCTGTAGGCACAGCACAGTGAGCAGAATACTCACTGCTCTGGGATTAGATTATTTTACGTTTGTGTGTGCCTACACCACTGCATAATGCTGTGCTTGAACCCAATATGCACTATGTCTGCATACTGTGCATCACAGAGCATTAAAACACATAAATATATTTACGATGTAATTAGATAGTGGAATTTTAAAGCAATTTGTTAATATCAGTATACTTCTTGAACTTGATTTTTTTTCTTTTATATGTACATAGGGCTGTGTGCTAACCCAGAGAGGCCTGCAGAGACCTTGAACTCTATTTTACCCTGAAGCAGAGAATGAAGGTTAGAAAAAAAAGTTGTCAGCTACCTGGTTGCCTGTTAGAAACCCCCCCCCCCCACACACACACAGCATTTCAAAGTATATGGCAATACAAAAAATAATAAGACACTTTTAGGACATTCTGAAAAGCAACCAAAAAGAACTCTTTGAAAAGTCAATACCTAGAAAATGTTTTCTACACAAAAAGGAGTAGAGAGGTTTTTAAAACTAAATGCAGTGAAGGAAAGGACCAGTTCATGACGACTGACCATAAGTCATAATGCGGTGTCCACAGCAGCGTGTCTTTTAAGAGCAGCTAGAATGTGGGCAAATGAAGCATGTAAAGCAAACGCAGCATAAACACTGAACCCAGGCACAAGGTCTACAGCAGCCAAGTACATCAGTTAGCAAATCCTACCTATACTGAAAAATTTAGAGAGTCAACTGATCAAAACTCAGTGAATGAGAACAAGGTGTGAACATTTTCCTTCTGTTATTATGCACACGTGTGGACGGCATGCGTGAATGCGTACACCCATCTCTGCGTGTATCGGGACATGCCCGTGGGTG